ATTGTTTTATTGCTGTGCAGCTGCACTACCTGTCTCTTTCGTGCGTTCTCTATCTTGCATGTGGGATTAAATGATTTTGTGGCAATTTGTTCTTGGCGAAAGAGGGGTAAAGATCTTGCTTTTACTTCTCTTTTCCTTTCCAGTGATCTTGTGTCTGTAATGCTCAACAGCTTACTTTGTTTGTGCTTTCTCTGTTACTGCCGTTACTGAAGTGAAATGTTTTAAAAAGAAAAGTACTTCATTCACAGATAATGTAATGCCCAATAAAGCACATTTTAATGACTTTAACTTTAAAGGAGTTAGCATCTGTTTAGGAGAATATTAGCAGGCAGTTACATTTTTTTAAGCAGTCATTTTTTATCCATGAACAAATTCTCCAACTCTTCCTCTCAAGCTGCATTCTGCTTTACCAAAGTGTACTGTAATAACCAGAATGATGGCCACAATAAGAGAACGAAACTTAAAAAATGCAGCTGATTGAGTTTTTAAACCTGTCCCGTCTTCCTTAATGTGCCGATATTCCCCCTGCTTTATTCTGGCTTTATACAGACTCTTGGTAAAAGGTATCCGTACCTGAGTTAGAGAAATATTCCTCTGGAAACGCAGTACAAGAAGTGTAAACTAAGCCTCATTAATTAGGCTCATTAGGTGAACCAAAACCTGTTTGATTGGAGGCAGTTGGAGCCCTTCCGCTCTGATGCAGCAGCGGTATTTAACTCACCATATTGGCTGTCTGATGGCTGCCCCTCAGGGTCATGTTCTGTGACATGGCTGTTGTTGGCACACACACACATTGAACATGTCTCTCTGTTTCTGCATCTACACACACACACACACACACACACACACACACACACACACACACACACACACACACACACACACACACACACACACACACTCCTCCTTTAAGGGGCTTGGCAGACCCCTGGTTCCCCCTCTCTAATCACAGTGTTCTCCAGGGGGCACAGCCATTCTCACTGCTCTTTGGAAAAGCTTGGCATTTGTCTGAGATCTCATTTCTGTAATTCATCGCCCGTCTCCCGGGAGTCGCGGTTGGCACTGGTGATGCCAAGTCCTCCTTCCTCCCGGCTTCTATCTCTTTCACACTCTCTATCCCTTCCCCTCTGCTCTCACAGTGTCTCTTCCTCCCTCTCCCTCTCTTTCACCCTTGTTGTTGTTTGTTGTTGCCCTGAAAGAGGTCCTCACTAAAGCTAAACTGGTGGGTGTACACATATTAACTCTCCCGTGACTGTGTTTGCTGGCCGCTCCAGGCTCAGATCACATAAACGTGTGTGTGTGTGTGTGTGTGTGTGTGTGTGTGTGTGTGTGTGTGTGTGTGTGTGTGTGTGTGTGTGTGTGTGTGTGTGTGTGTGTGTGTGTGTGTGTGTGTGTGTGTGTGTGTGTGTGTGTGTGTGTGCGGTCCTTCTTCTTCGAGTACTCTGAGTGCAGAGCGTCGGCAGAGGCTGCTAAATTAAAACAAATGAGCTACAGTGATATAAATGTAATTTATTATTATTAGTGGGAATATTGTTTCTTCATATTTTCCATTCGTATATAAAAACATTAAGCGTCAACAGATTAATACACACACAGCCCAAATGTAGAAATAATTATACATCAATTATTACCAGTAAGCAATTGGAAAATATAATTGTGATTAATTAGGCATCAGTAAAAATGTACATCTGTAACTTTATAGCAGAAGGGGGAAAAAGATGGATAGCTACTAATTTATTTATTTTTTATTTTTTAAGTAATGCATAGCACTCCATAAAGATTCACTCACTTCCTGAAAAAATAAGAGTTTAAATATTCAAGCTGTTCCGTCATGTCTCGCTGTAGCAGCTTCCTGTGAGTCTCTTAATCTAGTGTCCCAGTCTCAGCTATACTGAGCTATACAGCTGAATCGCTGCAACTCACATTATGTTTATGAGTAAACGGCTGTTGGTGGCAGGCATTTTAAGCTAATAGCTGCTTTAAATAGCTGCAATTAGTGGGAAGCATGAGATATTTAATCACTCTAGACCAATTAGTCTGTAATCAAGTAGTGTCCAAGAGCGAGCACGTTTTTGTCCTCCACTGTTCCTCTACAAGCACCGCCATATATTTCTCTTTGCGCCGGGAAGAGCAGTGATTAACACGCAGGGATATAGGCCCCCGTGGAACGCCGTAATGTGGAGTTAAATCACGAAGAGAGGGAGGCGAGACACGACAGCCAAACCTGTTATTGCAGTTTAACATATGCAGAAGGTTAATTCAAGGCAGAGACAGAGGCAAGCATCCTCGTTTTATGTGTTTGTCACGGTGCGTTGTGCAAATTTGTGGAATTAGGAGCTGGTGTGTTTCTTCTGTTTGGAAATACACAAGAAAGAACATTTCATTAGTTCCTTTTCTTGGAAACAATCAGTGATGGTAGTTTACCTGAAAGAGGGTGACAAAAGAGTAGTACATAATGAGCATGTGAGATTTAATCAGAAATAGTGAGTCACATAAATGCTAAATACATACACAAGGAGAAGGGGAGGGGGGTGCAGGTAGGAACTCCATCGAAACAATCTTCCGTTTTGTGTAGAAATAAAAAAAGAGCTAACTAAGGCTTTCTGTCGTGCTGCTGCCTCACTGCCAACAGGGATTATTTGGACAATCCTCAGTGCCATCGGTGGGAGGTGCAGGAGGGGGCGCCGCTGAGGGGGCTCATAGAAACAGTGGGACCTGTGAGTCAACATCTGGATGCAATACTATAATAGGAGGGGAGATGAATAATGTACCTGGGGAGGGCAGCAGTTTGGGAACTGACTAATAGAAAGAATGGAGCTGTGTCCATGCTGTGGGACTGTTACAATGCGGCTGTGAAGAAACCATGTCTTTATGGGACATCACGAAGCAGGATAAAACAGGTGTATCTATGTGTAAATATAAGCATGGCTGCTGAGCTGCTGGATTCATGACAAATGTATTTCCCAGGAATATCCATAATATACATTCTACACACTTCATCCATCACTTTCTCTATTAATGTTGATGTTTTTTTCTGTAAATCACTGTGAAAGATATGCTGCACAGCAGCGTACACAGGAGGAATTGTAATTGAACATGTGGCTAAGATGATCATCAGAAGGGAGGTTAATCCTCTGTCTGGACTGAGTTTCCTACAGTAGCTCATTATGTTTTTTAATCACTGAACCAAAATATTATTATAATTCCAGGAAATAAACTCTCATACAATGGTTATCAATCTTTCAGTAAAGTTGTGTTTGAATCTTTCTTACCTTCACTGCCTTTTGTTTTTGTTTGTTAGTTTTGACTCCTGTTTTTCCTTGTAAAGCGACCTTGGGTCCCATGAAAGGCGCTATATCAATCTAAGCTATCATTATTATTCATGCTTTCCAGTTTATTTGTGATACCTGTGGTTAAAATGCCATAGGTGGACCATAATAAATAAAAATATGCTGCTGGGTTTATTTCAACTTTATTTTTGAATGTAAGGTACACTCTCCTGTTGTGTGACGGCAGCTGAGGCCTCGCTGTCGCTCAGGCCTGTGTGTGTTCTCTCTGAACCAGAGTATCTTTAATCATATCAGGAAGGTCTAACTGTCAAGCCGGCCACCTGTGCTGTACCACACCTTTTTCATTTCATACCTTTCATCACTCAAACACACACATTTGACATCACAGGGACAGTGCTTGCCAAGGGCAGCAAGGCCCGGCTCTCTTATTGCTGACTGTAAACACACCGTGGTGGCCTCAGATGGCCCGGGGGGGGGGGGGCACCCACTGTGTCTGCAGCACCCACTGTGTCTGCAGCACCCACTGGGCGTCAAACAGCTGCTTTAACCCACATTCCGCAGGTTGATGGGGGACAACGTGAACGAAAAGCCTGCAGCTCCGTGGAAAGAAGACAGATAGGAAGGATTTCCACTGTGACTCACACTGTCGGACACACGTACACTGTATGTCATTACAGTATTGGTATTGTTATTTTTTATTTATTTTTCAAAAATGCATATTTAAAAATCAGGAAAAGAATTGAACAGGACGCATCATAAATCCTCAACAACAACAAACAAACATCAGCCTCTTATTTTATTTCTTTAAAACATTTATAGCTTTTAAGATATCCAGCAGTTTTCACTTGAATGCTCCCATAAACCTGACAAGGCCTCAACCTCAAGTGTGAGTATCATTATTAACGGTATTCAGTTATTATGTGGAGTTAGTGTTTTTAACTTCCTCACATTTCTTACATCTTTGTAAGAGAGCGTTCCCTTCTGCGTGAGCTCTATGCAGTGCTGGTAATATGAGAAGAGTTAGTGTTCAATCTTTATACTCATCATGGGTCGCAGGTATTAAACATATTAAATGAAAATATTAAATCATTGTAAACAAAAATGCTGTGATTTTTCTATTTGTAAGATGAATAAAGGTATAAAGTAAAATCCCACAAAAAATTCGCTCCATCGAGTGTGCGTTTTATTTTACGTTCTCTTCTCCTTTTTAGAATTTGTTTTGAATAATTTGAAACAATTATATTATTTTAATAATTGAATTCTCACCAAAATGCCTGTATTAAATAGACACAAATCCAAAGAAGTACATAGTAAATCTAGCTTAAACATTTTAATATAGATAGACCCTTTCACCTTTAAATGTTTTGCACAATATTTATTTTAGCATTTAGAAATAATAAAACCTGACTTAGTTAGACACAAATCTGATTTATTGGTCACTTATATAACTGCAATCGGAATGTGTGAGGCTGGATTAATAAAAGCCGATAAAAGCTTTATCACTAAATACTGTAGAACAGGTTTAAAAACTTGATATTGGCAACATTTGAATCTTTATCCACCCTTTGCGTCCAATCAAATCCAGATAATGCATTATGTTTAGTTCGGTAGCATTACCCACCTCCCTCTTTCTCCTCATTGTTTCATGTGACAGCGCCGTACTGAAAGCACTAAAAAATGCCTCCTGAGACAAAAGCTGAGACGACACAATTCTTCCTGGAAACTTTAATTGTTTTGACAACTCCTCAGAGCCAGTGAAGGTCAGTCCACCGTGCAGCAGACTGTATGTACAGAAGGTGGTGAGGTCATTTTGGCATTCAATGTCATGAAAAATAAAGGCTCTTTTTTATCTTTACATTAACTATGGCTGCTGACTCTCCAACACTTCAATTTAAGACATCCCCAGTCTGAAAGCACTTGGTTGTTGTCGAAAAGGAGTCTGTTAATGTTCACATATTTCATCAATTCATAACCAGAGTTGAATGATTTCATGGTATCAATCATTAACTTCTCAAAGAGGTGCTTTGACTGCACATAAATAACAGAAATGTGCAGTGATTGTTTAGGCATTGTAAACACTGTCAAAAATGCTGTAACTCTTAAGATAACATTTTTAACAAGAGTGCAATGTCACAGAATGGAATCAGGCCTTTGTATCAGATCAAACAGCAGAAGGACCCATGGCTCCAGGCGGGTCAAAGTTGTCCAAGTGAATGAATACAAAACAACTGAAGAGAAAACAGAGCAGGGCAAATAATAAAAGAAGTTGAACTCCAGCAAATATCTACACAGGGAGGGCTGATCAGTGCACATTCAATACCTCTGCTAGAGCCTGACATGCTACATATTCAACTATTCCAAAAACACTGCAAATAATTAACTGATATCATCATTTGAGGACATCATTGGCAGAGCATAACCACGTTCATTTACTAAAGACATGAAAGTTTAAACACAATATTTACATAACGACAACAAAAGGTTTTAATAAAAATATCTTATAATTACAATAGTGTATTTTAAGCTTATAAGTCTTCCTTTCACATACTTTTATAGAACATTTGTTTCTCTATATGTACATTCTTAATTGTCTCGAAACAGAATTGTTCTTCTTTACAATATCAAACATTTTATAATTCCAGGGAGGACATCCCTGTTCAACACAATTCATCTATTTTAAACAATAGATGTCAAAAACATTTACAAGGATTTTTGCAGTTTAGTAAAGCTTTAAACTGGAGGCCATTTTAGTTAAGCATAATTCACAGACAGTTTTCATAGCTGTTGAGAGACGGGTTTCCAACAAAACTTCGCAGCAAAGGGATTCTATATTTACTCTAGTTAGAACATTTTAAGTGATGAAGTAAGAACTTAAACAAGGGAAATTCGATGTTTACATACTAACTCCTCGTTCATAGGAACAAAAAAGAGCTGATATAGTGATTTGATTTGGGTTGAATTCCTCGCAGCAGTTTTGAAAACCCCTGGTGATTGTGCCTCCAGTCGGGTGTGAGTCCCTGGCGAAGCTTTGCTGGCTTTGGAGCGGCTCTGTGCAGCCTACACACCTGTGGAGGGGATGAATAGAGGTGGGGGGGTGAGCTGCAGAGCTCCAGACTGACTGGCGCCACCAACTAAACAGAGGCCATGCTGGATCAACAAACCAAAACAAACCGGGTCAGACAACAAGCCCAGCTCCTCAGGCTGCTGGAGCCACTGAGAAACCGGGATCAGGACTTAGCCTTACCCAGGTGTGTTGAGGTTCAATGCTATGAATCTAACATTAAAGCCAGATTGAATGGAAGGGACAGACAGAGAGAAAACAAAAGAGCCAGAGAAGGAGGAAGGAGCGTGTGTGTAAGAATGAAAGGTGAGGGCAAGCTGAGGTTTTAACCCTCTCTTCTTCTCAGATTGCTACACCAGTGACAGTTATTGCGCAAAGCACAGCTGTCTCTGGGGTAGGTGCCAAATTCGTCTTCCTCAATTATTATTTTCGTTGACATATACTGGCCTCCCCAGAGCACCGGAGAGATGGTCAATTTACACCATATTGGTTACAATGATCAAATTAATGGGGGCCCTTCTATGACCATCTATTGGCCACATGTGTATCATTGATTAAAAAACAAAGCAAATAACTTCTGACTCTCTGACTTACATCAATATATATATATAATTATATTTGAAGTCAACTTACCATTGCAGTGCTTATATCTCAGCGGCATAAAATAGAATCCTCCGGCTGTTTTACTATTGCCGTCCTCTAAAATAAGAAGAAAAAGAAACACGTAAACGATTGACCTTTCATGGTTTAAGACTAAACAAATACAAGGCCTAAAACCCAGCAAAAATAAATGATATACAGCAGAGCAGCAGAACATCAGCCCATAATAAATTATCTTATAGCCTATTGAATAACAAATTGTCCTTATTGTGCGCAGTGGAGTGGGCTGCGAGCAGAGGTACTTCAGCAATCCTGGGATAAGGTGGGCCTCTGACACACACTGCCATTATCATGCAAATCATAAAAGCCGCAATCAAGTGCGCAATGTTACCCACGCTAAAAGCGTTTTTTACGCATGCTTTTTTTCAAGGCTGTGATGTGAAGTGTAAAGCATTTAGATTTGTATCTCAATTTTTTTCTATCAGTAAAAGGACAATGACACACGCATGACGCGCTTTGTCTGAGCCCGAGTGGCGGACGGCAGTCTGGAACCGGAGTCCCCGATAAGTCCAGCTGGAAACGAGGGATGGAAAGTGGTGTCTGCTGATTAAAGCTTACCTGCTGGTGATCTACGTTGAGCACCGTCAGCGGTGTCCGGCTGGGGGTGGAGGCTGGGGGGGGGCAGCTCCCGGTCCGCTGGGGCTGCTGTTTATGGAGAGTAGGGTGCGTCTCCAGGGCCAGCTGCAGGTCCAGGATGTAGTCTATAACATGCTGCAGGATCTCCACTTTGCTGACTTTCTTATCCTGTGGAATGGTGGGCACGAGGCGCTTCAGCCGGCTGTAGCAGTCGTTCATGTCGTACTGCAGGCAGAACAGGTCCTCCTCCTCTATCCTGCACCGCGCGATGCTCAGGCTCTGCTTCGACAGACATTGCAGAGAGAGCTGGCTGCTGCTGGAGGAGGAGTCCTGGGGGGGGACTGGAGTAACAGCCTTCATCTTAGATAACGGCGGCTCAGAGACAGCGAACAAAATCTAATAAAGACGTTAGCAAAAGGTATTTCAGATTACACTATGGTGCTGTAAACAAGACGAAAGCAACTCTAATGCAACCGAATATTATCGAGGGGAATAAGAAACCAAAAGGCGGAATTGTCGTCAGTCAACACATCCCGCGGAGCCTCCAGTTCCTCCTACTTCAGCAGGCTCGATGTAAAATGATTGAATAGATTTCCTAGATTTATAGAGGAGAGGGGAGGCGCCAAGCCAGACGGCTGACAGATCAGCGAGAGGAGCTGGTCAATCACCGGCACCCGCTGCCCACCGACCCGTCAACCGAGCCGAGAAAAAGGCGTGTCTCTCTGTGCGCTGCGGTGGGCTGCCTGTTGGGAGGTGTGTGTGTGTGTGTGTGTGTGTGTGTGTGTGTGTGTGTGTGTGTGTGTGTGTGTGTGTGTGTGTGAGTGTGAGTGTGAGAGTGTGAGAGTGTGAGAGAGAGAGAGAGAGAGAGAGAGAGAGAGAGAGAGAGAGAGAGAGAGAGAGAGAGAGAGCGAGAGAGAGAGAGAGAGAGATTTAATACAGTCACTGCGCATAACCATCCCCGTACAAAGAAACAAGTCTCAGGTAGGCTATCTTTATGTGTGTAGGCCTATCTGTACCAGAGGCCTCTCACGAAGATTTTCCAAACACGTATAATGATACAAATGTGCCCAATAAACTCGGCTGATAAGAGTCGTGTTGCAGCTTTAGTGCTGTAGTCATTGATGCGTAATTACGCACAGCCTCGCTCATATCGATCACTCCTGTGACAGAATATTCCAAGCCCAACCACCTGCTTAGAAGAAGAAACATGCTTTACGTAAAATTTGAAGATCAAAGCGTAACCAATCAATTTCACTCATCGATAACAATAAATAAATAAAATATTTAGGTAATGAAAAAACATCTAAATGGAGATGTGTGGCGGTCAAAATTGAATAATGTCACTGATCAAACTGAGATTTATATGTTGAATGGGGAGTTTTTTTTCTTTGTCTAATATGTAATATCCTCACATTGATATTCATGCCACACTCATTTACAACACATGTCATTTTCGACACAGAATTAACCGTTTACTAGTATCTAAGAAGATAAATTGTCTACTCAAGGAAATGTAATTTTAGCCCATCATAAGCTCTGGCTGATTACATTGTAATTATGACTTCATATAACAGAAATGTTTACTTTCCCAGGCCTGACTGCAGCTCTAAGGCAGCCAGGACAGGCCTGTGCCACTTCTTCTCCCAGCTGGGTGTTATTGTGCCTCCACATTCCTCCGCTCTCCCGGACGGGTCGCTGCTTCCCTCAGCCCGGCAGACTGCCTGGCGCCACGAAGGAGAGATCCTCCATTCAAACACACAGATCCTCTCCTCTTCCTCTTTCTTCCGTTCTTTCTTTCTTTCTTTCTTTCTTTCTTTCTTTCTTTCTCGTTCGGCAGGTTTCCAAGACAACATGTAAGCTACTCTCAGCTTCAGTTCAGCATGGACTTTGAGTGTTTTCCGTGCAGGTTTACTACAGGGGCCCTGCGGTCTGAGTTTAGCTGGGATGACACCCACCTCAGAGGCTCTTTAGAGGTTTAATGTTCCAAACTTTATGGGAACCACCACAGTCTCTTCTGTCATGAATATTGAACGGTTTATTTTCTCTTTAGATGGGTGTTTTCCTCTTCTCTCTGTCTTCCTCTCTCTCTATTTCTCTCTGTTTTCTGTTGCCATGGGAAGTGACTGTTCTGCTCACTAATGTGTGCAACAATGTTTGGTTCAGGGACTACTTCAAAGGGCTCAGAGGTATGAATCTTTGATGGTAGCCTTTCCACTGGCAACATGGTGCATGAACTCTCATGACAAGCAGATGATGGACATGGTCTGAGGGAAAACCTGTCCAGATGAACCGTATCCATGACTACCTAATGCTTACATTTATAATGAAGCATAAAGTTGGATATATTACACAAAGTTTTTGGTTTTTTTAAGATTCAAGCACCCTCTCTGAAATGAAACAGACAATCAGCAAATAGGTCACAGGTACATGAGGCCGGTGACTCAAACATCACTCCAGCTGCTGCTGGACAGACATGTGATATTCCTAAAATTGATGAATGAAACATATGCCATGCCATGTTTCCATCAATGTTCCGTGTGGTTTTTCATCGTTTGAGGTTTGTGATTTGTCATGTCGCAGACTGAAAAACAACTATTTCCACAGCACCTTGGCCATTAAAATGTAAAAAACAAAAACCTTTTTTCTGTATGTAGCCTAAAAAGGTTTGGCAATTTGACTGTTACGTATTCATCTGACAAAAATGTTTTCCATAATCTTTCTTTCTGGATTTTCATTTCAGATAGCTATTATCCGTTTTTCATATGTAATGCAATTTCAATGAACTTTGCCCCACAAATTAACTCAATTTAGACAGTAAAACCAGCTGTCTTGACAGTGCTGACCTTGGCAGGAACACAGAGCCAAACCAGAGTCTAAAATGAAGGAAGCTTCTGTAGGTATTACATTACATGTTACTTGTTAGATGCTTTTATCCAAAGCGACTTACATACTCAATACTGTGGACAATCCCCACAGGAGCAATTTGGGGTGAAGTGTCTCAGGGACACAACGACATGCTGACTGCAGTGGGGTTTGAACCTGTGCTCCCCTGATCAGAACACCAACACACTATTCCACTGCGCCACATGCCTCCAGGTATGTTACAACATCCACTTTTATTAAACCTCCTTTGTCCAATTTTGTCTCTTTACTGGATAAGGGCAAAGGCCATCATCAACATTTGTCCAACTTTTTATGTCAAAAGGCGGGGCTTTTTAAATGTAATTCAACATTTCAAATTGAGGTCTAACCAGACTATTATTGTATAATATGTCACTTTTCTTACAAAATGAGTGTTATTGACAGGCACAATAATATATGTGTAGGCCTGAGTAAATGCACATTTAAAGGCACATTGTAGCTAAGCTCCCACACTTTGACCATGTTTTTTAATTCTGTACCCTGCATTATCGCAGGTGGTCGTGTATTTACAGTGGTATGCACCTTTCCGTTGAACAATATCGGCCTACTGTTTGACAAAAATACTATGTTAATTAACTGAGCTGGTCGTACGTGGCTCAGCTAACTAGCATGATAAAGTGTTGCTTCTGCCAGAGCTGAGAGAGATGTTGTGTGTTGCCAAAACTTTGCAAAAACGTATCTTACCAAGAATTTCTGCTCCCCATGTTTGAGTAGCGAGAAGTCGATAGCGCCTGTAGCGGACCTTGCAACTCACATTTTCTCAATTCATTAATATTCTGAGGGCCAGAGGGGAAACGTTGGCCATCACTGTTCAATAGAAACCAAGCCTGTTTCATGAAAACTCGTAGATGAATTTGACTGCTACTTGTGTGTCCAGGTCTTTTGTTAGAGTATTTTCTGTTGATTAAGGTTCAGAGAATAACCTTGTTAATAGCAGAGTTTGGTGTGCCCTGTGTGTCTGGCTAGTGTGTGTGAGCAGGAATGTAAACAGGGTGCACTTTGACTTTTTGTGCTAAGTAACCTTGTTATATTCTATTCTTGTCTGTCTTTAGCACTGTTTCGAGTCAATGATGCATATCTTGACCCCAAGTTTAACACACGTAATAATTCAAAGTTGGTTGGACAAAGGGGGAAACGTGAGTTTGCATTATCTATTGCCCTTCTGTCTTTTTGTTTGCTTCCTTTGCATGTACTTCTCTAATTGTGGCCCTTCTGGCTCTACTTCCCTAAAGGTTTATAGCAGTGCTGACTGGGGACTGGAGCCAGGTAACTAGAGACTCATTACTAGATATGCCGGATAGGTCGAGCATATTGTTTGTTGTGGCTACACAGTGTGGAGACAGCGATCACACAACTAACTCAACCAGTCTGCTATTTCGGACACAACTGCCTGTGTGCATTTCAGTTGAGAAACCTAGAGTCTGCAGCGACAGTAAGTCTTGCGTTGGTAGTTTTTTTTGGTTGGCCAATAGTGCAGCAACCAAGTGGAAATTGCATGATGGCCACATCTGTGCAAGAGGTTTCCCTGGGATGTGGTTGAAGTTGCGATGGGTGGTGACACACGACACCTCTGTTTCATGGTTTTTAGAACAGGAGATAAAATCACCCAATTGTGAAAGGCAACCACTTTACCAACTTTTTCTTTTAAAAATCTTGGATCGGCATTGTGAGGGTGACACTTAGTTTTTCTAAACACTAAAATCATTATAAAAAAAGTAAAAACCTCCAAGATTAGCACAGAAACATAATTATGAAATATTCAAGTTGGATTTTGTTTAATAATTGAACAAAATAAATTATGCAAGGTTAATTAATCCAGCAAAGTCAACTAATATATGTTTTTTAATACACATGAGGAAAACTACTGATATTATGTTAGCGTTGTAGCAAGTGAGGCACATCTTGTAGGCTACTTACCTTGAGTGCTAACCTCTGCCCAGGAATACAATGCAAATGGCCTGATGTCTTCAGCTAACGTTAGCAAACTCATTAGGTTAGTACAGGTTATTTGCTGCTTAATGTTATGTTTCCCAAATGTATAAGTCTAAATAGTAATGCTCCGACGCAGGAGGGGGGTCTGAGTCTCTCCTCACTATTTAAGCCTGACCATTGTGCATCAATAGGCTCAGCCAGTTCACTCATACATTTTCATAAACACAAAGAACTCAAAGAAGACAATGTAATCTAGGAAATATATATTATTTGTAAAATTCAGTCCTGTCCAATAGTTCTATAAGGCGCTTGACTGGGACCTCTACTCAAAGAGGGATGTGCGTCCCCTTGCCCCCCCTCTGGTCCTCTCTCTCACTAAGAAAGACGGTTTTGGTCTGTTTTTGTATGATATTAATGGTTTTTCGTTCTCCATTAAATGGGAACAGCTCCATACCAGTGTGTACTGCCTTGGCTGTGGTTGTGTTTGGTGCTTACACACTTTCCTCTTCTCGGTCGTCCCTCTGTGTAGCATCATAGCTACCTCATTCTCTGAAACATATGGGCCGTCTCATGACTCTTAAACTCAGCTGCAGCTGTGAGGGTTGTCTGCTTGTGGTTTTGGTGGGTGACGGCTTGCCCAACAGTTCTTCCAGTAGAACAGACAATAGTAGCTAAATAATACCCAACAGGTGAATTAACTTTCCTTTATTCAATACTGGTTGAGCTGGGTGGTGACACTCTTTGTCTGGACAGTCCTTAATCTCAAAGTATATCTACATTTTACATTTGCATGCCCTGTTTTTACTATTTATCAGGTGTGGAGAGCTGTGTGTTCTGTGCGGGGCTCAGCTGTGACGGGTGGGGCCTGAATGTTGTATTTCT